AGGTCGGAAATTAGTTCTTTCGTCGGCTGTGAGTAGCGTCTCGGTGACTTGACTGCTTGGTAAGGTAGTGGTATTTATCTTTGTACTATTTGGTTAAAATAAAAGTGCTAATCTACGGAGTTTGAGGCAACAACACTAGCCAAGCGGTCGCCTTAAATGACCAGACTCAAGCGCCCCTCACATTTGCCGCCCTACACCACCCTGAAAAGTGGCACAGTCAGACAAGACAATGAGCAATGACGAGTAGTTGTTGATTTGTTTCTCAATGTGCGGCTTCAGGCTCTTAAAAGATATCTATTCTGTTAACAAACGCATGCATAGAAACATACGCACATACAGAGCTGGGAACATGTTTGTGAGTCATCCACACATACATACAAACATACGCACATACAGAGCTGGGAACATGTTTGTGAGAGTCAAACACACATCCATACAAACATACGCACATACAGAGCTGGGAACAAGTTTGTGAGAGTCATACACACATACATACAAACATTCGCAAATACAGAGCTGGGAACATGTTTGTGAGTCATACACACATACATACAAACATTCGCAAATACAGAGCTGGGAACAAGTTTGTGAGAGTCATACACACATACATACAAACATTCGCAAATACAGAGCTGGGAACAAGTTTGTGAGAGTCATACACACATACATACAAACATTCGCAAATACAGAGCTGGGAACATGTTTGTGAGTCATACACACATACATACAAACATTCGCAAATACAGAGCTGGGAACAAGTTTGCGAGAGTCATACACACATACATACAAACATTCGCAAATACAGAGCTGGGAACAAGTTTGTAAGAGTCATACACACATACATACAAACATTCGCAAATACAGAGCTGGGAACAAGTTTGTAAGAGTCATACACACATACATTCAAACATTCGCAAATACAGAGCTGGGAACAAGTTTGTGAGAGTCTATGTTCGAGGTAGATTCGGAAACACGTGGTCTATGACGTTACAAATTCAGAACTGTTTCGGAAAATGATAAAACAACAGAGACATTGATGTAATCGGGTAAGAGGGTGGGGCGAGGATGGAGAGGGTATGGTGACACCCCGGTCATCTTTAAAATGTGCACCAGGTGTGTCAATAGACATTTGTTATTTTAATAACTTAATAACACTCTGATGGCAGTCAGCTAAAATAATAATAACATTTGGTGTAAACTGACGTGTCACGCACTAGTGACAGGTCTGAGGTGACACTATTTACCAAACATGTCACCATGGGGTCAGTACACTGTTCCCACACGGGACTTCGCCAACACTAATGATTTCAGCCGTATATTGATATAGACAGGACCCCAGTCAGTGGCTGATGTCGTTAATATTACACTAGCCGCCTTTACCTCCCTGCAGATGTTCAGTACCTATTGTAGGCTGGTTTGTCGTAGGAGTCTAAAGTACTAGGGTTTTTCTTCTTCTTCAACTTTACAACGAAAATAGTTCTAACACAATACACATCAACATACATATAACTGTATAAAACGAATGCTGTAAAAACACTCGCAACTGAAAAGTAACAATGTAAATAACATTCCCAGGTTTAACACCTGTAGGTGCACTTGTCTACCTGACCCCGGCAGGTAACTGGGCTCGTAAATTGACACTAGTGCTGACATAATGAGGACACAAACACTATATTGCACAATTTACCGTCTCTCTTTTATGCTCTGTGTCTCCTGAAGCCTATATTACAGACATTACATAAACACATCATGAAGATTAAAAATGAATCCTTTTAACAGAAACATCTTACTTTTAATGCTACCACAGTAGTATTCACTTGATCAGCATGTCCTTCTATATATATATATATATATATATATATATATATATATTATATATATATATATATATATATATAGATATATAGATATATATATATATATAAAGTTTATTGCATAAATCGCTACTGCAATATAAATTGTGCAGTTTTTGTTTGTGTCCTCGCTACTTAAATTGACAGCTGGAAAACATTAATTCAAATTCCAAACAGCTGGAGAACTTAAATTCCCAACAGCTGGAAAACATTACTTTAAATTTTCAACAGCTGAAAACATTACTTTAAATTTCCAACAGCTGAAAACATTACTTTAAATTTCCAACATCTGAAAACATTACTTAAAATTTCCAACAGCTGAAAACATTACTTTAAATTTCCAAAAGCTGAAAACATTACTTTAAATTTCCAACAGCTGAAAACATTACTTTAAATTTCCAACAGCTGAAAACATTACTTAAAATTTCCAACAGCTGAAAACATTACTTTAAATTTCCAACAGCTGAAAACATTACTTTAAATTCCTCGTGTGGGTTCTGGGGCACCATTGTGGGGGAAAACAAGAACAGACAAACTGCCTCCCTAGCAAGCATGCCGTAAGAGTCGACTAACTGGGTATTTCCTTTGAAGTTGCAGTGCATCTGCCTGGCAGGCAAGGAACCAACAGTCTGCTTACATATAAGATCTATAAAACTGCATGAAGTCAGTTTTAAACGTCCGTCAAATGTGGACTCGAACCGAAGTTATTTAGACCGCAGGCAAGCATCTGTCTGGTCACTGTACTGTTGTGGTAGGGAGTTAGGAGAGAAATAATTGGTCAACACAGTACATAAGCATAGGATGATGTGACACGAAGTCAGCGTTTTTGTTGGTGGTAGCATATCGATACTGTTACTAACACTGGTTTTGACCTAATGCTGATAATCTGAGACTACGAAAGCTCACTGTGGATGTCAGACCAACAGACAAAAACACAGATATCCTGTTCAATTTCCAAAGAAGTTGTTACAACTGGGGCACCAGTATGAGCTACAGCATCCTGGTGTAGCTTGCAGTCCTGCGCCGGTCAACAGCTGTGAATGCAACTACTGTTTTGAGTCCTGGGGTCTGAGGTCGTCCAGAAGATCACTTTCATGTTTGTGCAACGAACATGATCATGCAGGTGTAAGAGGAAATAAAAAGACGAAAGGCCTGTGGATTTGGCTCATGTGTAACCTATCAGTCCATGAAAACGACAGTGCTTTGTTTTAACCCAGTGGACGAAATTCTGTGGAAGAGGAGACAGGATTCAGTCTGTTTTGTCTCACTTATATGCAGTGTGCAATCATGGCCTCAAATGACACATTCATTTATCTGATGAAAATAAACACGATAGCTGAAGCTATACAAGTCTATGAGAAACTGTAAAAAACTGGAACATCCGGCGCTCAGAACACATGCAATGGAAGCCAGCGCTACTCGAATCCGTCACTTGTCATCAAAAAACATCTCTGCTTGAAAGGTTCCATTGCCAGGGCATATGCCCAGATGCCTGTGGAGCAGCTGATGCACAGCCCATCTGTTTACAGACCAGTTAGTGCACAGCCCATCTGTTTACAGACCAGCTAGTTCACGACCCATCTGTTTACAGACCAGTTGGTGCACAGCCCATCAGTTTACAGACCAGTTGGTGCACAGCCCATTTGTTTACAGACCAGTTAGTGCACAGCCCATCTGTTTACAGACCAGTTAGTGCACAGCCCATCTGTTTACAGACCAGCTGGTGCACGACCCATCTGTTTACAGACCAGTTGGTGCACAGTCTATCTGTTTACAGACCAGTTGGTGCACGGCCCATCTGTTTACAGACCAGTTGGTGCACGGCCCATCTGTTTACAGACCAGTTGATGCACGACCCATCTGTTTACAGACCAGCTAGTGCGTGACCCATCTGTTTACAGACCAGTTGGTGAGGTATATGGTCAACATCGCAAGGTCCTATCCACTGAATACATTGTCCCAACTACCCATTTAAGACCAGATGGAACTTGAACCCGGACCATGTTTACCAGTCTATCTCGGCGTGGATTCGAACTTATGATAACAAGGCTGGTTAGCCGATGCACTAATTTGATTTCAATGATTCGGAAGGACCATCAGCGGAGGTAATGGTGAGGATGAATAGGATGAAAACGATGATAATGAAAATGATAATGGATAATTACAGGACAACGATAGACACATTTTCATCAAATACCGTTCAATAAATAATATTCGCCTTGACAGCACATTTTAAGAACTTGGAGAATAATCAAACCTTAGCATCGATAACGTTTCATACGTTGAATGTGTGAGGTTGTTTGAAACAAGATCATTTTAGAACATTCAGCAAGTCAGCGACCCAGGAAGACTGCAGTCACAATTTAATGCTTACTTTCTTTAGTTGAGAGAACAACACGACAGAAATGTTCAAATGTGAACATTCACTTTATACTTTCAAATGAACATTTTCAAACAGGGTCATTTCGCTGTGCGAAAGTCAATAATCTGAGGCAGTGGAGTTAAGCCAGATGTAATCGCAAGACTCAAGTCAGTACAATACGTACTGAACCTGTCTTCCTTTTTTTTCGGTCAATTAACTACTTGTAAAACAAGACAGTCAAGTCAATCATAATGGAAGAGCCAGGTCGAGATTAAGACAAAGGCATCATCAGCTGGCGATCTATTCTGGTAAGGTAATCCTGTAATTTGTCATTGCTTTCCCTGCCACCAGAGTGAATCATGTCTATCTGAAGTCACACTGTAGATTCCGTGAGTTGTCAGTTTGTTCAGATTCTTCTGTTATGAAGTAACTAATTTCCATTTGAAGATAATAAATACAACATGTACTTGTCTGGCAGATAGTAGGCAGTTACTTTCTGGCTTGAATGCCGGGGGTAATGCCTGACTTGGTTGCTGTGGGGAACAAGCAAACATTCTTGATTACAGTCCTGTTGCTGGTTCTTTCTTAAGAAGAAGAGGTCAGGTGGGAGCTTCCATCCTGGAGAAGAGTTGGTAGAAATCTTCAGCTTTTGGTCTAGGCTATACCTTTGAAGTCTTCGTGAGTCCATATGGTCGATCGTCAGGACTGGATCGTTCACAGAAGGTAGCAATAGAAGACTGGTCTACATCTGGCTGAGAGCGTCATCATTGTCAAATGAGACAAGATCACTTACAGCTGCACTCGTCTACGGACATGTCCTGGTAGTTCTTGAGCACCGTGCGCCCTTTCTCGTCCCGGTACAACATGGAGATTGAAGACATCTTGCTGGGAACACAGCAGACCATGGGCACCGAGCCGGGGCTGACTTTGTAAACCCTGGCCTGGAGCATGGCGTGGTTGGAGGCTTTGGTGAAATGTGGCAGAGGAGCCATGCAGTCTCCGTGACAATAGTAGGCGCTGTAACCTGTAGGAGCCACAATCCAGTCGTCCCAACCAACGTCGTTAAAATTTACATACAGACCATGTCTTTGGCAAATATTTTTATTTCCTTTCTTCTTTCTTTTCCTCTTCTTCTTTTTATCCTTTTTACCTTTTTTATGTTTTTTGTTATCGCCCTCTGAAGTTTGGCGTCTGTTCCGCTTTAATCTGGTCAGTCTGATTGGTTTTGAGGAGGTGGGCGAGGAGCCGTCATCCGTGAAGGCCACCAACAGCGGACGCTGCAGTGCCCACTCGCCCTCGGAGACGTCGACGGATCTGCGTATCCGAACATGATTATCTGTTGAAAGTAAGGAAGATGGCGTCCCTGGGATCTGACCCACTAACCTAATTTCTAGTCCGTGGTTGTGTTTGTCCTCCCGTTTCCACTTTAATACTGCGGGACGGATGTCGAAGCTCTGCCAGCTGGAGTTCCCTTGGTATGAGACCACCTGGGTGTCGATTAGTCTTGTGAAGGCATCACCATCTTCTGAGTCCGGTCGCATAATTTCGTGCACTTCAACCCGATATGAAGCGACATCGTCGACTGAGGTAGAACTATGACTGGACTGGAGTGCCCCAAGACTGGGGTCTGTGGCCGACCCAGGACCCGCGGCCTGTCGATCGGTTCTAGGGGCCAGGTAGACTCTCAGCTCTGCACCCGTAAGGGTCTCAGCCTTCGGGAGTCCACTGATGTCGAAGTGAACCCTGGAGCATAGCGGCTGCTGGCACCTCTTGCTGTCAGCGTCTGAAACAGAGAATGGAGAGAATCAGCTCTGCGTCTGAAACAGATACAAGAGAGATTTGGTCATGCGCCACAAACAGAGAAGAGAGAGAGAGAGAGAGAGAGAGAGAGAGAGAGAGAGAGAGAGAGAGAGAGAATAAGTCATGTGCCATATACAGATAAAAGAGAGAATAAGTCATGTGCCATATACAGATAAAAGAGAGAATAAGTCATGTGCCATATACAGATAAAAGAGAGAATAAGTCATGTGCCATATACAGATAAAAGAGAGAATAAGTCATGTGCCATATACAGATAAAAGAGAGAATTAGTCATGAGCCAGAAACAGAGAATAGAGAGAATTAGTCATGCGCCAGAAACAGAGAACAGAGAGAATTAGTCATGCGCCAGAAACAGAGAACAGAGAGAATTAGTCATGCGCCAGAAACAGAGAACAGAGAGAATTAGTCATGCGCCAGAAACAGAGGGAATTAGTCATGCGTTGGAAACAGAAATCTATCGTTAAGAGAAGATACCAGTACAAATGCGATATGACAGAGATAGGTCAGTATCGTCTTTAAGCTATACTATATTATTAGCGGTGCTGCTAAAGAGGTTGAAACCAAACGTGGAAGATGCATTAGGGGATTACCAAGCAGGTCTTCGACAGAACATCACCAGAACATCAAGTATTCACCTTAAGACAAACAAACGGCAGAGAAAAATTGGGAACATATGGATTTTAAAAGGACATTTGAAAATGTACATACAAACAGCTTGTGAAATTGTGTAATTATATAAACAGCTTGTGAAATGGTGTAATTATATAAACAGCTTGTGAAATGGTGTACATACAAACAGCTTGTGAAATGGTGAGACATATAAACAGCTTGTGAAATGGTGTACATATAAACAGCTTGTGAAATGGTGTACATATAAACAGCTTGTGAAATGGTGTACATATAAACAGCTTGTGAAATGGTGAGACATATAAACAGCTTGTGAAATGGTGTACATATAAACAGCTTGTGAAATGGTGTACATACAAACAGCTTGTGAAATGGTGTACATATAAACAGCTTGTGAAATGGTGAGACATATAAACAGCTTGTGAAATGGTGTAATTATATAAACAGCTTGTGAAATGGTGTAATTATATAAACAGCTTGTGAAATGGTGAGACATATAAACAGCTTGTGAAATGGTGAGACATATAAACAGCTTGTGAAATGGTGTAATTATATAAACAGCTTGTGAAATGGTGTACATATAAACAGCTTGTGAAATGGTGAGACATATAAACAGCTTGTGAAATGGTGTACATATAAACAGCTTGTGAAATCGTGTACAAATAAACAGTTTATGAAATAGTGTACATATAAACAGCTGGTGAAATGCTTCACACGACTGTGGAGTTTCATGGCTGTTAATCAACATAAAGAGACTTTGTATGGAAGACACTTATAGTAACATATTAGGATAGAAAGCAATTTATTATAACAAAAACACCTGGTTTAAAGCCACTTGATGTCCTTTTCCACACTTCTATAGAAAATTAAAAGGAAGGTGGAAGAAGATTGTACTACAGCAGAAAACAACATAGCTATGTAGGTGACATTGATACCGTTGCAGAAAAATAGCTAGATAGTAAAAATACCCAGTCGCGTCATTTAAAGGCGTCAGCTCAAAATAGGACTAGGTATTAATCAAGAGTCGGCTCTGTGGCTAAGTCGATGCGAACGCTTCATAATGTCGGGATAGGGGGTTCGATCCCAGCTGCGGGCCAAGCGCCTTGCGGCAGTTTCGACTGTGGTATCAAGGAAGCCGACTGTCCAGAAAGCAATGGCAAACTACTGGACGTAAATTTGCCTAGAAAAAAACCACACAACAGCCAAGGGCTGTTGCGTTTGGTTCTGCAACGCCCTGCAAAGGATACGCAACTAACCTATCAATCAAGACAAGACAGAAAACATGATAATAACAAGACAGGGAAAGGATGAAAATCTCCGACCACAAGCAACTAGATATTATAATAATCAAGAGAACAGAAACTAAACATACTTGGCTACAAACCACAAGTAAGTAGATATTATAATAATCAAGAGAACAGAAACTAAACATACTTGGCTACAAACCACAAGTAAGTAGATATTATAATAATCAAGAGAACAGAAACTAAACATACTTAGCTACAAACTGCATGCAAGTAGATATTATAATAATCAAGAGAACAGAAACTAAACATACTTGGCTACTAACTGCAGCTGCTCCAAAATACTAAAATAAGAAATGAGACCTAAAATACAATCTGGAAATGAAATATGCTATGCGCTACAACAACTGACAAGAGCAAAGGCTCCACCTGACAACACCAAGATGACAATATACACAAGGCTGCTGTACATCAGTTGCCTTATATGGCTCTAGAATCTGGAGCACCAATAGAAGAGATGGAGACTTATTACAATTGTTTGTCAGCTGCGTTTTGTGGCGAATCTGTGGCCCCATCAAAGATGCAAACAGCAGGAACAAAAAAGCAGAAGTAACGATGAAAGTCGCCTTATGTTCAAATCACCATTAATCACTGGCACAACGATGGCTGATAGACTGAAATGTTTGGGGCATATCGAGAGACTGTCCGGTGACAGACACGAAAAACTGTACACAAAGGAGCAGTATGGCTATAGACCACGAGGTGGGCCAATTTTTCTTTCCACATAATTTTCGTCCATTCTGTTACTTGTTTGGCTTTTGTTCCTCATTGCGTAGTCATATGCCTCTCTCTCTCTCTCTCTCTCTCTCTCTCTCTCTCTCTCTCTCTCTCTCTCTCTCTCTCTCTCTCTCATTCTTTCTCTCTCTCATTATTCATTTGGTCTAATCTCTCTTCTCCTTCCTTAGTCTCCTTTAGCGTAAGCTTTCAGTTCACACAAACACACACACACACACACACCACACTACACAGTTCTCTTAGTATCTGTTTTTGGTTTGTGTGAGAGGGTGTGTTGTTGTGTGTTGGCACATGGGCGTACGGGTGCAAGTGTTTGAATTCGAGATACTACTTGTGTAAACAAAGGTTCAACGTTACGCCACCGCTTCCGACTATCGAATGTGAGAGAAAATGTTTGCAGAATCCTCTTTCTTAGGAGACTAACAACAACACGTGTTGTTTATACAACAATTTTTGCAGGTTTCAGGCGATCATTTTAATGGTAGGCCGTCCACAACATGCTCTGGTAAGCTATGTCATCAATCATGATTGTTTGCAGATAAATATGTTCCAAGAAATCACTTTGAGAGAAACCCCTGAGGTTACAAGGAGAAACAAATGGCAGAGTAGCCCCAGTAACTTACAGTGAGTGAGCCTTCGACAAAGTACCGGAGGGTTTAGAAAATGGCAGTGCAGTGTCTTCTCACCCCTTACAGGTCGGAATTCTAACTGGTCTTAGATCAAATTTATACTTTTTCAACACTAAACGGATTAGACAGATTTTACATAAAGTCATAAATTCAGTCTATTTTCGTATAATGATTGTAATTCGGCATCTTTGTAAACTCTAGACATGAATTCCAGGAACTCGTTGATCCTACCAATATAATCTTGCGTTATATATTAGTGGTATTTTGTGGTCGCAAGTGCGGGTTAAAAACAACAAATGAAGTGGTTTGGACACCTTATAAGAATGCCCTAGTACTATCCGCCACAGCAAGCCACGCTAAAACGTTACAACGGGTATAGAGCGAGTGGAAGAGCTCGGAAAATATGAAGTGATGGCATTAAGAACAACCTTACAGAAATGAACATCAGTCTTAATAGTGCTCTTGACAGAGCTCATCAACGAACATTATATCTCCCCCCGACACTTCGCTGCGGTATAAGGTGGAAGAGAAGAAGAAGAAGAGGTGCGGATGGTCTTAAGTCGCATCGGGAGAAGGTTTAGAAACAGAAAACGGAAGTCACTGTGGCTTCTACAATGGGCATAGAGTATTAACAGGGATATATGGGAATCTTCTGTGTGCTTGTTAGTAAGAGTATCGCCGAGGAAGGTACTCACCCTGACAATCAAAAGCGTTACCAAAGCCTAAAGATATGATCTAATGTCATTGGGATGTAGAAAACAAGGAGAAACTGCAACATTATGCATCTCAGGAAACTCTACAAGGGAAACGCTAAAGAAACACAAAGATCTGATAGTGAGGGTCTAGTGTCAGACAGATCATGTCCATCGGCTAGGCAAGGCCTTGACCTTTGACAGTGTTAGCCTAGTGAATTGGCTCAGTAAAGTAAGGGTCCCTAGACACACCAGTGGCTCATTGGGCATATCAGGCAAGACTCGTATTTCCTATAACTCTCGATAGGTGATGTCGACACAACATCACAGCAGCCGCCTTTACTTCTCTGGGCTTTACCTGGTACATATGTAAGGCTAGCTCGAACTGGGAGCATAGGTCAGTCACTGTTTCCAAAGTTGATACAATATTTTTGTTGCCTTCTGTCATACTTAGTAGTTTTGTGTGTGTGGTAACAATCTAAGTCAGATAAACCAGTTATTTGTAACTGTAAACTTTAAACCTCCTCATGTGTATTTCGGGGCCCCATGTCATATGAGTCGACTAATAGAAGGCTACCTTCGAAGTCGGACTGCATCTGCCTGAGAGCAAGGAACCAACAATCTGCATACAAATGAGCCAGATCTGTAAAACGGATGTGCACGCGGTACACAGGTTCTAGAACAAGATGACAGTCTAGAGGTAGACGAACAACAAGAACTTTTCGGTGGAGTATACAGCCGGCGACCGTCAGGAACAAGAGATCGAGAGACTGTAAACGGTGTTCTGAAGGTCTTGTTACCTTTCCTATGTTGCTGAAGCAGGTAGTGAAGGGATCATGCAACATGGGAAACACCTGGCTCTCCTGTCGCAGGTCGACCCAGTCTAAAATGGGTTCCAGGATGTACGTCCTGGGGAAGTAAAGACGGCCGGCGTAATGTTGACCACATTGCCCACCGAGTGCTGATTGGTGTGAA